AGAAGCCAATTACCCCAACAGCAATCCTATTAACTAAGGACGCATTTCTCACAAATGTCTATGAATTCTACTTTTCATCAATTAAACCTTGGATAAGACAGACACAACAGACGTGTAAAAAGGCAGGACTCTGTTGTTACCACATCCTTTCATAGGAGAAATGTGAGCCGACTAACAAAACTTTGTACTATCATTTATTGGTCATTCAATAGTCTTTTCATTATCATTATTGGTCTCTGATTCCATGGTTACTACCTAGACATTGATTATATTGCATAGACTCAGTATATTCTGGTACCCTTTGACCTGCACACCAATCTGATTTGTGGTAAATAAAGAATGATTTATAGTTATACAGTTAGGTGTTTCCTATATAATATATGAGAATTAGTAGGTACATTTCACAACCCAATGCATAACCACTACACCACCAGGGCTCCTCTGTGGGTACATTTCAATCAAAGTGATTTTTATCTTAATTATTTGTTATCGCTTGTTCACCTAATTTTAGACAATAATGAGGAACATTTTTATATAAGCAGATAAACATTTTTTATCATCACAATTAAGGCATTAGGAAAAATATATATATATATATATGTTATCTAGTTAATGGTATAAAGCAAATATAGGTCATGCCTTAAAAACAGTTACTTCTTCAAGAAATGTTTTTGAATTTCCACTGGTGGTTCACATCATCCACAAGACTCTGTTGTCATTTATAAAACAAAGTGGTTTATACTTTATTTTGTAACAATACCATGAATTTATATTGCTTAATCTAAAAGTGGCTTGATGGTGTAGTTAAACATCCTTATATTGAGGAGACATTTATGTCATGGGGGAAATACAAATCCAACATTTCCTGTTACTTCAGGACCTAGATATGGGGTCTTTGAGTATTTGTTTGTGTTCTACAGCACATCTAAATTGGGGATCCTAGGAAAACTCCTTATCTCATGCACACACATAAACAGACATTAAATAAAACATTAGAAGGAGAGTCAGTAAGAGGGCCTTATCTGCTATCAGTGGCCATGTTGAGATATATGGCCTCTTTGCAACTGCTCCTGGTACAGATAATTTTTGTTTGGTTTTATATCTTTATGAAGAGACTGAAATGTTTACTGTTGTAACAATGGCTAGTATATTTTAATCTGGCAATGCCAATTTTTAAAACCAATTTTAATATCTTTCCTTTTTAGAAGTTTTGATGAAGGTGAGCCTTTGTCTTATGATATTATTTATATATGTATCATCTGAAATTAGAGCAGAAATGGTGTCTACATCTCTTTAAGTGTGCACTTCATCACAGGTTTAATATTCATAAAAATATATTAAGACGTGCTGACCTTTAAATAAGCTAGCTATATATTTGTGGCCACATAGGATAATTGCTTGCTATGTACTCATTGTTAAATATAGTATTAAAATAATTGCATTCCAATTCCTGTTCCAAGACTCATTTATAAATATATATGTGTATATATACACATCTATATATATATATATATATATATATATATATATATATATG